TGCAGCAGCTTATTTACATACAAATAGTACCAAAATTATACTGTAAAAGTTATGTATAAACAATGCCATAAGGATCATTTAATTGAAAAATTTTGTATTTTTCAATTAAATACATGATATATACAGCATATAACATTATACACATGATGTTAAATACTGCTCAAACTATATATACATATATATATATATATATATATATATATACAAAAATTTAAAGTTCCATTTTGGGTGATAATAGGGACCATTTTTATTGCCTATTGAATAGTGCAGATATGATATCTATCTATCTATCTATCTATCTATCTATCTATCTATCTATCTATCTATCTATCTATCTATCTATCTATCTATTTCTCTCACCCTCTCTATCTGTATATATCTATATCTATTTATTTATTTCTCTCCCTCTTTCTATCTATCTATCTATCTATCTATCTATCTCTCTCTTTATCTCTCTCTCTCTCTCTCTCTCTCTCTCTCTCTCTCTCTATTCCCCTCTATGTCTATCTATCTATCTATCTATCTATCTATCTATCTATCTATCTATCAATCAATTTCTCTCTCTCTCTCTATTGATGTCTCTCTATATATCTATCTATTTCTCTCTCTCTCTCTCTCTCTCTCTCTCTCTCTCTCTCTCTCTCTCTCTCTATCTATCTATTTCTATCATTCTATCTATCTAGTTCTCTCTCTCTTCTCTATTTCTCTTCATCTCTCTCTATATATATATTTTATCTCTCTCTTTCTATATATATATTTCTCTCTCTATATATATATACACACACACACACATACATATATATATATATATATATATATATATATATCAGCCTGTATTATGAGCATTTATACTTTCAGGAAGACATGATTAAAAGGTACAAAACAGTAATAACAATAATGAAACAATATAGAAGTTTCTCCTCTGCTGCTCTGATCATTATGCCTGAATAAGAGGCTTATGCCCAGCACCCAGAATAAAACAACCGGTAGCTGCCCAGTATAAGCTAGTAATAAAATGATATATTTATAATAAAATGGACAGTAGGTGTACACATGCATAAAGGAAATTGTGGACAAACATTGTAGCAGCTATTGTGTGAAATCCCCCGGACACACACACACACACACACACACACTGATGGTGCCTGTTGTAAGGGGTATACAGAAGAGCTGAATGATTTCCCTTCTAATGTCAAGGTCAAAGCCTCCTCTGGAGCTGCCAGTCATGACGTCACCGCACTGACCCCCCGCCTCACTCCCCAGCTAGCCGATCAGGATGAATAGACAGGCAGCATACACATACACTGCATTCTGTGCTCATCGCAGCTCATCGCCCCATCACTTACTGAAAGATGAATACATTAGATCTGTCAACTCATTATTCCATGCCACTTTCTACGGGTTATCCTAGAAACCACGCAAGCCAGGACTGAAATATACCCATCTCCACTCCACGCAGACACAGGCACATCAACAAAGCGTTGTTTACTATCCACTATAAGCTGAGCAGCTTGTCATATAATATGGCTAATAAATCCTGAGTGGGAGGCGTCACGTTCCTGAATAGGAAGCACGTGTGGTCATCAATAGTAATATTTACATTGTATCCAGCGTCACAGGAAACTCTTCTCTCTCTACCAAATCCTGCCTGTCCCCAAAAAGAACCACAAATTTCGCTGGTGCTACATTTCATTGAGCTCGAAAGGGCCTTTTTATTATGAAAATAAACGGATAAATACAACCAAAATGCTTTAACAAGATAAATAGGTTACAAATATATATAATTTAAGGGAACAAAACAAATGTAAAATTAAAAAAAGAAAGAAATATGAAATCAAGTTACACTTGTTGGTAAAACTGTAGACAAAAAAAATGGTGGTAGAGGAATCTCTACAGTTGTCATTACAAATCATTCATTATCAGACACAGTATGGATTGGAGGGGAGGGAGGGGGACATCATGGTGAGAGATACCACCTAGCCAGCTGATGATCACATAGATCCATCACACAGACACACATATGGGCTGATTTACTAAAGGAGTTGAGAATTTTCACTGATTTTTTTTTTTATTATTCCTCCTTTTTTTTTATCCATACATGTGATGTTCACATGACCGAATGAATATTCACAGGATTCTAAGCTTCATTAATAAATCAGCCTCCTATTTTCCTTTATAAGCACAAGCCAGTGGTAGGGTGCCAGGCACCTTGGCTTGTATGCCAGCAAAACCACAGTGCAGTACATGCCCAGAAGGAAGGATCTATTGTATTGGAAAACCTTGATAGTCAGAAAGCCTTCCTAGGAGCTCCCTGCCCTTTCCATTACTGCAAGTAACACTACAAAAGCATTGTGTGACCTTCCTGCAGGAATCAGTGAAAGTAGGATCACCTCTGCTAGGAGCACCACTCCATAGTCACATCACAGGCATGCTGGTGTGATTCGCAAATCTTTTAACACAGCAACAATGTGAAGCCAAAATAAAAAAAAGACAGCTATCTGAATCCAGCTTCTAAAGTCATTCAAATAAAGGGACTCCCTGTCTCAATAAACCTTCACTCTTCATGTGTGAAAAATGGGATTGGAGGCCACGTGTGAATAGGGAGCACATCCTAACAGTGTCACTGCTGGGAGATCATGCACTGGAGCTTAGCCCTAAGAAAATAAAACATAAAATCCAAAACTACATATAGACCGCCAGCACACACCAAGTCTGCTAATACACTGCACTGGTGTGATTAGTGTAGTCCTGTCCATTGCTGTGTATGGAGATCCCCGTGGATTTTAGAAATTAGGATTATGCTGTCACCCTGAGAGATAAAATAAAGCTTCTCAGAACAATGAGATCGGCCTGTATGCCAATTGCTAGCAATGACAGGAGGCCTGCCAATAATGGCCGCATCTGCTGGATGGAAAACACCATTTAAAGCTGGATTCGTGGTGGCAGGAAAAGGCGCATACAAAGTATATACACATCTATAGGCAAATAGTAATAATAATAAAAAAAACCTTATGGAAGCCCGTATGGTAACAGATTGTCGCAAGACCCAGCCATTTTTTTTTAGAGGGGAGAAATAACACAAATAAAATACAACAGTGTAATCGGTCCAGATTCAATACACAGCTGGAATAGGGTATTGCTAGGCACACATCAACCCACCATTATAAAGTGTTTAGATTAATCATTCTCAATGCACTTTGAAAAAAAAAATAATAATAACAAACAACAAAAAAAACAATAATAAAAATCCCTTTAGTGGCAGTATAGAGAAATGTACAGGTCATTTGATTTTTTTTTTAAACTTGGACTGCCCAATAATTAAAAAAATATTCTAAATGAAATAAACATGTCCCTATTCGAGATCACAGCTGATCCATAATAAGAAACTATAAAAATATGAGATTTCCATTTCAGCCAACATTAGAATCCACACATACACATTATTTTACTAATTTGGAGACTAGGTTTAAGTTTAAGGATTTGGGAAGGGGGGGGACAATTAAGACTGGCAGTGAACTAAATAGAACTTATACAATACAAAACAACAGACATTACCCCATTATTAATAATTCAGACACAATAACAAGGAGCTGCTCTGCTAGGACCACCATTGTTTTTTTTTTCATAGGCATCACACACAGATCTGAATCGTTCTACCAAATTTATTTTCTCAATCAGCTCTTACGGAACCACTACTAAAATTAAATTACAATCAAATGATCACATCAAAAGAGACCATTGTAACCTGTCCATATTTCTTTTTTCAATTGTTATTTGTGCTCGTCTGAAAAATAAAACAAAAAAAAAAAAAAAAAACAAAATAACAAATAACAAAAAATAAAATAAAAAAACAACACGTAATACAAGATTTTGGGGAAAAAAATAAATTACTGTTCTGCATCAAGTTCATAGGTATTCTGAATAAAATATTAAAAGAAGTCATTTGATGAAAATATAAAGCAATTTTTTTAGATCAGTTATTGATCTAATATTTTTTTTTACCGCTGTCTTTAAGTCTGTTTTTTTTTTTAACCTACCAAAAACACCGCTTGGAAAATGCAGTATAGTATGATCTGATCATAGTTGGCAACGGACTTTAGAAGAGGTGTAATTACGGTAAGTGCAGATACAGAAGTCCAAATGAATGTTTTAAATAGAATAATTAAATCCGTTTTTTTTTTTTTAGTTTTTTTTGGGGGGGTTCAGTAAAAAAAAAATCTCAAGGGTCACGGGTGAGGGATCAAGATAAAAAGAGCCACGAGAAAAATAGGATTTGTTTTTTTTGTTTTTTTTTGACATCTTTAAAATGATTTCTGTACACTTGTGGCTGGTAGGACGTGGAGCTTAAAGTTCAGAGAGCAGAAGATCTATCCTCGGTGTGCACCCTGCTTCTTAGCACAGGATAAATGTATTCCAATGGATTTCAAGTCACTTCTTAGTGCTGTGTGCATATTTCATTGCTTGGCTTGCTGAGATGAGGGCACATTCTGTTCCTGAATATTTGCTTTTTTTGTGTGTGTGTGTGTGTGTGTGTTTGTTCATGGAATTACTATGACTAGTAGCCATGGAGGGATGGCTAGGAGCTGCTGCAAGTTCCATTTTCCTACAACCACGGGTAAAATATACTGCAACTTTTGTTTTTGTATTTTCTTGGGTTAGAAAAGCCGCAGAAGACAGCTGATTATCTTGTGCCCTATGTGATGTGGGCACCCTGGCTGGGCAGACAAGTGAAGTCAAGTGGCATGTCTTTTTTTTTGTGATAGCTGAATTTGGGTAAGGCAAATAAAAAACGATCTTTTTTAAAAAATAGAGTATATATTAAAAGGTGTGTTCTGCAGTTTTTGGTGCAATGGCATGTCCACCCATGTGCCAGAGGATGGAGGTGGTGAATGGCGTTGGCCTGTGGATGGTGTTGGTGGTGGATCTGGGAGTATAAAAGAGCAGTGTGGGTGAGTGGGGCTGTGTGTGACCATCTTCCCCCCCGTGGGTGCCCATTCCAGTCATTGCACACTAGTTTGCATCCCGTGGTGAGGGGGCGGCGTGTCGGCCCCCACATTGCCCACCTGGGAGTAGACATCATCTGGCGTCTGTTGCTGGATCCCCGGCGGGGTCATCCTCTTCTCCTTCTGCCTCCGGTTGCAGAACCACACTCGGACCACCTCCTTCTCCAGCTGCAGGCTGTCGGCCAGGTTGGTGATCTCCTGAGCTGAGGGTTTGGGGCACTTTAGGAAGTGGCTCTCCAGGGCCCCTTTGACGCTCACCTCGATGGAGGTCCTCTTCTTCCTCTTCCTACCCTGGGCGGCGATCTTATCGATGCTGGTCGGGCTGCCTGTGGACGAGTCGGCCTCCTCCAGCCACTTGTTGAGCAGAGGTTTGAGCTTGCACATGTTCTTGAAGCTGAGCTGCAGTGCCTCGAACCTGCAGATGGTGGTCTGGGAGAAGACGTTGCCGTAGAGGGTGCCTAGGGCCAGGCCCACGTCCGCCTGGGTGAAGCCTAGCTTGATCCTCCTCTGCTTGAACTGCTTGGCGAACTGCTCTAGGTCATCCGAGGTCGGGGTGTCCTCGTCTGAGTGCGGCTCGTGGCTGTTCACCCCGTGGTGTTGCTGCTGCTGCTGCTGTTGCTGCTGCTGCTGCTGGTGGTGCTGATGCTGCTGCTGCTGCTGGTGGTGGTGATGGTGGTGGTGGTGATCGGCCAGCTCGGGGGTGTCTCCCCTGACAAGGCCCGGGTGGACCAGGCTCTGGCTCCCCGGGGGTGGGCTCAGCATCCCGTTCACAGTGAAAGCCCCGGACTGGGAGTAAAGAAGCGCCTGCTGCTGTTGCTGCTGTTGCTGCTGCTGGGCTCCGGCTGCCATGGACTGGATGTGAGAGGCGGCCGCGGCTCCCCAGCCGCCCTGATGCCCTTGGTGAGGTCCGAGGTGAGGCGGTCGGTGATGCAGGGCGGCCCCCGGATGCAGTTCGTCCCTCCCAGCTCCCCCTTTCACGTCCTGCTGCTGCTGCTGGGGATGCTGCGGGCTGCCGGTCATCCCCACCGGGCTGCTGGACCAAGGAGAGCCGGCCTCGGCCGCCGCCGCGGCTGCAGCCGCTGCAGCAGCAGCCGCGTGCGGCAGCGCCGTGACCCACTGGTGCGCGTGGCTCAGCATGTGTCCGCCGTTACTGGCCGCCATGGCCCCCTGCATGAAGTCACTCTGCACCATCTTCACCGTGGGGTCCCCCCGGTAGCCGCCTGACACCGAAGTCACCGCCGCGCTGCCGGGCTGCATGCCCCCGCCTCCCCCCGAGTCCGAGTGCACGATGGAGCCGGGGGACAGGATGCTGTTGCTGGGGAGGTAGGGGTTCGAAGCAGCCGTGGCCATGGCTTCCCCCCCTGCTCGCTGCTATCCACAGGTTTGGGGGGCTTCCTCTTCTCCTCCCCCGCAGCCCGAGAACGCTTCCCCCTTGAGATGCACTTTTGTCCTTGGAGGAGCAGCCCAGGGCCAGTGTCTCCAGGCGGGGGCTTCCACCCTCCTCACTTCACCTGTTACCGCCCGATCTCCTGGGCATTCAACTTGTCCGACAGATCCCAAACTTCCCCTGATGGTGACGAGGGCGATGGAGAAGAGGCATCACAGAAAGTTCCAGCGCCCGATCAGTGGCTCTCCCCTGGAGCAGCAGGACGCCGGGCTGTGCGCTGCCGGTACATGGTGCGGGCTGTGCGCTGCTACTGCTGCTACTACTGCCGCTGCTGGGATCCCTCCTCTACACACTGACAACTCCGCTGGAAGTTGGCTGCCTCGTCCTCCCCCTCTCCTCCACTCTCTGACAGCTCTGTGTGTCCCTCCCTCACTGAGCGGGGACTGGAGAATGTTTACCCTGCACGGAGCGCGCACACCACCACACCAGCCCAAATACGAGCGAGCCCACAGCACGGCCCCCGCTGATTGGCTCCACGCTGGGTGATTGACACCGAGCCATTGACTGGCTCAAGAGGCGCCCCCCCCCCACCACCAACACCACCACCAGCACCACAGCTCCTTCCGCCCCGTCCCATTGGCTGCCTTTTCATTTAGGCAAAGTGTCGTAGGAGCTGGGAAGCTGGACCCCTTAAAACAAATTGCTGCTGCCTGCACCAGTGTGTCTCCCTGCAACTTAACTCCTGGGACCGACCAAACACCATTAGGAAGTAGGTGAGGTCATCCCACCGCAGATCTCCTCGGCCGATCCTTCCTCGGAGGGGACCTATACATGGCATACATTGTACCCACCATCCCACGGAGACTGATTTAGGGGATATACATTGTATACGGAGAGAGATCCTTTTACACCTATAGATAGACATAGGTGCAGATCCGTGTATACAATGATTTCTCTCTATATAGTTACTGTATACAGATATAGATCCTTTTATACCTATAGACATAGATGCAGATCCATGTATACAATGATTTCTCTCTATATAGTATACAGATATAGATCCTTTTATACCTATAGACATAGATGCAGATCCATGTATACAATGATTTCTCTCTATATAGTATACAGATATAGATCCTTTTACACCTATAGATAGACATAGATGCAGATCCGTGTATACAATGATTTCTCTCTATATAGTATACAGATATAGATCCTTTTATACCTATAGATAGACATAGATGCAGATCCATGTATACAATAATTTCTCTCTATATAGTATACAGATATAGATCCTTTTACACCTATAGGCATAAATGTAGATCCATGTATACAATGATTTCTCTCTATATAGTATACAGATATAGATCCTTTTACACCTATAGATAGACATAGATGCAGATCCGTGTATACAATGATTTCTCTCTATATAGTATACAGATATAGATCCTTTTATACCTATAGATAGACATAGATGCAGATCCATGTATACAATAATTTCTCTCTATATAGTATACAGATATAGATCCTTTTACACCTATAGGCATAAATGTAGATCCATGTATACAATGATTTCTCTCTATATAGTATACAGATATAGATCCTTTTACACCTATAGATAGACATAGATGCAGATCCGTGTATACAATGATTTCTCTCTATATAGTATACAGATATAGATCATTTTACACCTATAGATAGACATAAACGCAGATCCGTGTATACAATGATTTCTCTCTATATAGTATACAGATATAGATCCTTTTATACCTATAGACATAGATGCAGATCCGTGTATACAATGATTTCTCTCTATATAGTATACAGATATAGATCCTTTTATACCTATAGACATAGATGCAGATCCGTGTATACAATGATTTCTCTCTATATAGTATACAGATATAGATCCTTTTATACCTATAGATAGACATAGGTGCAGATCCGTGTATACAATGATTTCTCTCTATATAGTATACAGATATAGATCCTTTTACACCTATAGGCATAGATGCAGATCCATGTATACAATGATTTCTCTCTATATAGTATACAGATATAGATCCTTTTATACCTATAGATAGACATAGATGCAGATCTGTGTATACAATGATATAGTTACTGTATACAGATATAGATCCTTTTATACCTATAGATAGATTATAGACACAGATCTATGTATATAATGATCTATATATATGTACTGTGCACAGATATAGATCCTTTTATACCTATAATAGATGTATACACACATCCATGTATACAATGATCTATATCTATCTATCTATCTATCTATCTATCTATCTATCTATCTATCTATCTATATATGTACTGTGTACAGATATAGGTCCTTTTATACCTATAGATAGATGTATACACACATCCATGTATACAATGATCTACATACATGTATACAGATATAGGTCCTTTTATACCTATAAATAGATGTATAGACACAGATCCCTGTATACAATGATCTATATACATGTACTGTATACATATATAGATACATTTATACCTATAGATAGATGTATACACACATCCATGTGTACAATGATCTACATACATGTACTGTATACAGATATAGATCCTTTTATACCTATAAATAGATGTATAGACACATCCATGTATACAATGATCTACATACATGTATACAGATATAAGTCCTTTTATACCTATAGATTTATAGACACAGATCCATGTATACAATTATCTACATATATGTACTGTATACAGATATAGATCCTTCTATACCTATAGGTAGATATACATACAGATCCATGTATCCATGTATAAAATAATCTGTATATATGTACTGTATACAGATATAGATCCTTTTATACCTATAGGTAGATGTATACACAGATCCATGTATATAATGATCTATATATATGTACTGTATACATATATATATACTTTTATACATATAGATACAGATCCATGTATATAATAATAATAATAATATATATGCGTGTGTTTGCACTGTATACAGATTTTGATGCTTTTATACCTATAGATAGATATAGATAGAGAGCCATGTGTGTGAAGATGGATCTATCTATCTATCTATCTATCTATCTATCTATCTATCTATCTATATGTGCTATATACAGATATAGATCCTTTTATACCCATAGATATAGATACAGATCCGTATATAAAAAGATCTCTCTATATATGTACTATATACAGATATTAATTCTATCATATATATGTAAGATCTATATATATATATATATGTATATATAAGTATGCATATATACTGTATATGTGTAAAAGGATGTATATATCTTTCTACATGTATAAACTGATCTATAAATAAGGAGCTATGTGTATTCTAATAATGTAGATTTGTGTGTACTAAAGGATCTATATATGTTTATAACAATCTGTATGTGTATATATGTATGTATATATGTATACAATAAATCTATATATAAATGATGCGTATATAATGATAAGGATCGGTAGAAACATGTGATTGTTATTTGTGGGAATTTCCAATGTCAATAATCTATAATTCAGGAGATGTGACATTATTGTTATTATTTAGCTCTATAATAGGACAGCTCTGTGTATTTGTAGAGGATTCCCTGTCACTAATGTCCTGCTAGAGGTAAACACTTCCTAAAATGGGAAGTTTGGTTTCCTGGAAATCAGTGGAGCCCTGGAAGCCACGATTGCATTTCTAGGATTATATTTATTGGGATGTCTCATCTTTGGGCAGCTTTCTATTGAAAATCTCCCTGAAAGAGTTAAGAGGAGGGGGGAGAGGTGGATGCAACCAAGCGGAAACATAGCACAGGCAACCTCAGTGATCCAAGGCAAAGAAAGAGAGAGTGGCAACCAAAACAAGGGCGAATTGAGCTCTCCTCCGGGACCTGCTCTCACACTGCTCTGCTCGGACACAGCCAGACCTTCTGTCATTGAGCATCCTCACATTATCCACATTGTGTGCTCAGCGAGAAATCCCCTACATACACACCTCCAGATCCATCTTCACACACAAATAACTGCACACACTTCCACCTATAGATCCATGCTTATACACAAATAACTACACACATTTCCACCTATAGATCCATGCTCATACACACAACTGCACACACTTCCACCTATGGATCCATACTCATACACAAATAACTATACACATTTCCACCTATAGATCCATACTCACACACAAATAACTGCACACATTTCCACCTATAGATCCATACTCACACACAAATAACTGCACATATTTCCACCTATAGATCCATGCTCATACACACAACTGCACACACTTCCACCTACAGATCCATGCTCATACACACAAATAACTGCACACACTTCCACCTATAGATCCATGCTGATACACACAAATAACTCCACACACTTCCACCTATAGATCCATGCTCATACACACACACATAACTATACACACTTCCACCTATAGATCCATGCTCCTACACACAAATAACTACACACACTTCAACCTATAGATCCATGCTCATACACTTACATAACTATACACACTTCCACCTATAGATCCATGCTTATACACACAAATAACTACACACTTCCACCTATAGAACCATTCTCATACACACAAATAACTAAACACACTTCCACTTGGAGATCTATCTTCATACACACAAATAACTACACACACTTCCATTTGTTGGAGCTACATACTTATACACAATTAGCTACACACACACTTCCACCTATAGATTCATGTTCATAAACACAAATAACTATACACTTCCACTTAAGAGATCCATCTTCATACACACAAAAAATTACACACACTTCTACCTATAGACTCTTGTTCATACACACATATTACAACACACCCTTCCACCTATAGATCTATATTCATGCACATATAACAACACACCCTTTCACCTTTAGTTCCATATTCATACACATATAACAACACACACTTACATACACTTATATAGATCCATATTCATACACATAT